GAACTCGAGAGGGTCTTTGAATAATTACGTGGAGACGCAAATTTTGTATGCATCTAGCTAGGGGTTAAGCAATAGATATTTTTATCACAAAGAGATTTGGGTAAGAATCGCATTCCTTTTACTTTTTAGCTAGATCGGCAAGTTTCGTAGTGGTAAACGTAAAACCTTATGGAATTTTATGAGGCTCGGTTATAAAAGTTCACTATCGAGAGATTGGAACTTTTATAAACAACTCGTAAAAGTCTAACCATTTTATTGTTCATTTTATCTTAAGCAACACTTACACCCATGCCCATAATTTAATATTAGAAGTTTATTTCGTTATTTAGCTAGTCGGGCCTATTTCAGTCTTTTTATAAACAAAAATCCACTTTTTCTTTACATCTCGAAACTCGTGCAAGAAATTCATGAAAAATCTCTGAATCTCAGTAGTACCTTTTTTGTGGGAACGATCTCGGTACTTTGTACCACTTTATTACTTGCAAGCGCATAGTGTCAGCATGCACTTGCACCGCCATTGTGGGGACTTTTTGCCCACTAGGTGAGCACGAACAATCCTAGCCTGTCCCTATGCTATGAAAGACTATCTTCAAATCTCTGGAATCAAAGACTTCAGCACTCTAAGTGTCAAATATGAAGACGAAGTTTGAAGATGATAAGTTACCTAGAACCAATAGCTCCGAAACAGAGCTTTGATAGCAAGTTCGAACATAAAGCTTGGATGCAGAGCTCGGACACAGAGGGCATGAAGATTGAAGTCTTGCATGCAGATAGCCAAGTACTCAGATATAGAGGTCCACTCCCAGACATGTAGACTCTGCATAGTACATGCAAAGCCTCTACTTAGACCATCTATGTAAAGGTTCCACAACACGTCTTACAAGCATTCTAGTATTTGTTTGACACGTAGTCAGAAACGGTTATTGCAATCAGACACATGGAGGCAGCAGATTGGTAGACACGTTGATTTTGAAAAGATTCTATTCCTAGAAGATTCCTTTTATGGAAACGCCTATGAAAGAGTATTTCCTCTAAGGCAATCAGTGAAGAAAAACACATAATTATTTCATATAAGAGTCGATTAGGTCATTGAGAGAGTTTTGTAAATTTCCTTTCCATTCAATAAAGAAAAACAGTTGATTTCTATCCATTATCTTCTTCAATCTATCGTTTTTAATGCTCTAACCTTCATCTGCGGTTAGATCTAGGTCCAACAATATCACCAACATTCAGACTATTATCCTGCTAACTCTCGATTTTGGTGAGCTGAGATACGACTCTTGGCGATAACTTTTCAAAACCCATTGTATAAGTTTTGGTGTCCTCGGACACGTTGAAGTTTCCTCCCGACCAAAATTGTTTACTAATACGGAATGGAACAAACTTGACTCTCTCGTCAAGCTTTAGGTTTATGGGTCTATCTCCAAGCCATAACTACAGATGATCTTGAAGAAAGGCGTTATAGCTCATGAGGTTTGGACGAGTCTCGAAAATCTATTTCAAGACAACAAGGATGCCCTTGTAATTTAACTTGATGATGAATTACACAACATGGTGATTGGGACCTCTCAATCACAGAAACCATAAACAAATCTAAACTAAGAATGATCTTCTTTGTAAACACTGATTCTCCTATCAACAAAAAGAATCTTGTTATTTATATGATTAATGGTCTCCCTGATGTGTATGAACACATTGCGGGCATCATTTGTCACTAAATGCCACTACCATCTTTCTTGTCGGCTCGTTGTATGCTTCTCTTAGAAGAACAACGAATGTCCACACCTGACAATCATCACTCATCTCACCATGATCACTCATCATTGCGTACTATTCTTCATTTTGGCCATCATCCAAAATCTTGGAACAAATTAATGATGGAACTTCGATCATCACAACGACCACTATTCAGGCCGCCAGAATGATAACCGCAGGAGCGTCGGTCACAACCACCAATCGCTTACTGTAACAGCTTCATGGAGTACTCATCGAATTCATAGGGGTGTACGGGTAGCTTCCATCCTACCCTTAGGGCACCTTTCGTCCGTCACTGCACCTCGACCCCTCTTTTTAGTCACGTTTGCATCAGGCCCACAACTTCTTCAACCACTACCAATGGCTATCTCATATCTAGACATCAACAACATATCTCAGCATCATCAGTCCCACATATTTGGCAATGGTTTATGATTGGATCTGATGATCATCCTATTGCCCATCCTCAAGCATTTAACACCCTTTCGCTTAATGAGCCGGGAGATGCTAGTTGGCATATGGACACCGGGACCATCTCACATCTTGCCTCCGACATAAGTACACTCAAAACCGTTTTTAGTAAGTGCAACATTACTTTTGTTATTGTCAATGATGGGTCTTCTATTTTTGTTATCACCCCAACATTATTAAAACCTTCACCTTCACAATATTCTTATCACCCCAACATTATTAAAACCTTTATGTATGTTCGCTAATTCATAAAAATACAAACCACAAGGGTGGTGCCTGATTGGTTTGAGCTTGGCTCCAAAGATCAAAAGTACCAGGAAGTCCCAAGTTCAAATCCAAGGAAGAATAAAAATCCCCATGTGGCCATGGAGGTTCAAATACGGTGACTCCGGGTTATCTGCAAAGCAGGTGGTCGCCCTGGGATTAGTCAGCTCGCATAGCGAGTTGGATATCCAGGTTAATCAAAAAAAATTCATAAAAATACAATAAATGTTTCTGAATTTGATGAATTTGGTTTCTCTGTGAAGGATCTCCAGACTCGCTAGCTCATCCTCCGATGTGACAACACTAGCGACTTATATCTCGCCATTCCTACCTCTCCTCCTCTTGCTCTTATATCCTAAAGTCTTCTCATATACATCAAAGGTTGGTTCATCCCACAATAATGTGCTACAATCATTAATGTTTAATGGTTTAATTTCTTGTAATAATGCTAAATCTCACACGCTTTGTGCATGTCAACTTGGCAAATGTGTTAGACTGTCTATTGTCAAGTCTCATTTTGACATTATTCATTCTGATTTATGGACCTCTCCTATTTCCATTATTGGTAGTCTAAAATTTATGTTATATTTTTTGGATCACTATCCATATTTTTTATGGGTTTACTCTACATCATAAATATGATGCATTTCATAAATTCTTGCATTTTGGTGCTTATATAAAAACTCGATTCAATTGTGAATCAAAGCATTCCAATGTGATCATGGGAGTGAATTCGACAATTCCGCCTTACATTAAGTCTGCGCTACTAATAGCATACAAATTCGTTTCTCAAGCCTAAAAACTCATAAAAATGGAAAATGTGAACACATGATTTGTACCATCAAGGACATTATGTGCACCCTCCTCTTACAAGTTCATTTTCCTCCTACATATTTGGTGGAAGCATTAGACATGGCCACTCACCTTCCAAACTTGTTACCCTCCACATCCATCCAATATGATATCCCGTTCACTTAACTTTTTAATAAACCACCCTCATACTCTCACATTCAAGTTTTTTGGTGTCTGTGTTACCCATATACCTTCTCCCCCCTCATAAATATGCCCTACAAACCAAATCATACGTCTTTTTTGGATATCTTTCCAATCATCATGGTTTTCAATGCCTTGACGTTGTTACCAAGAACATAATTATTTCTCGCCACGTCACCTTCTATGAGTCTATTTTTTTATTTGGTTATATGAAACCATAAACTCCACGTCCTATAACTTTTTCGATCATTATTTTGATCTTTCTCTTGTATCTTACAATCTCTTAGAGTCACCATCACCATCCGTTTCCCAACCGAACCAAACACCCATCCCTATCTCCCTTTCCAATCCTTCCTTGTTAACTTTGAGCCTATTTCATTCAGTGCCACCGATATAGACCTTCTCTTATTTCGACTTCCCACCATCCCATGGTCACTAAAGGAAATATGTCATCTTTATAACTATTCAATGCCTAAATCTTCACACAACCACCACCTCCCCTATGCCTCAATCTTATATACAGACTTTAAAGGACCCTCACTGGCAACATGCCATGCAGGATGAATACAATGATCTTATTAAAAACAAGACATGGGTGCTTGTCCCAAGGCCCCAAGGGATGAATATTGTACGGTCTATGTGGTTGTTCAGAAAGAAGTTTCATGCAAATGGTACTCTCGACAGATATAAAGCCCGTTAATGGCAAATGGTAAAAACTAGTGCCCGGGATCGACTGTGATGAGACAGTAAGTCCTATTGTAAAACCCACCACCAATCGTATCGTTCTCAGTCTTGCAGTTTCTGTCCATTGGCTAATTCATCTACTTGATGTAAAAAATGATTTTCTTCATGGCATATTTTAGGAAATGGTTTTTATGCATCAACCACCGAGTTTTATTGATACAGACCATCCCGAGTACGTATTCCATATTCAGGAATTTTTTGTATGGTTTGAAACAAGCCTCTTATGCTTTGTTCAACGATCTACCAAATATGCTACGCGAACTGGGTTTCATCACAACAAATCATATATTAAAGGATTCCTTTAAATCCATTCCTTATCTCCTAGATTAATATTATCTCTTAGATCACTTATCTCCTAGATTAATATTATCTCCTATTTTTCAGGGCCTTCCTTATTTTTTCTATATTCCTTGTATTTATATCATTGTCTTATTTGTCAATGATGATAATAAAATATTCCACCAAATTTGGTACCATTGAATTTCTAGATGGTATCAGAGCGGTTCTAAGAGAATTATCAAAACCTAATCGGCAGCCACCATGTCTACCGAGAAGGACCCGAAGGAAGGGGGTGACGGGAGCGCCTCTAACTCGAACTCTCCCTATTACATACATGCCTCGGATTACCATAGGCAAATGCACGTCAATGTCGTTCTCACAGACAACAATTATGGCGATTGGTTACAGGAGATGTTGAACTTTCTATTCGCCAAAAACAAAGTAGGGTTCATCGATGGCACTATTAAGAAGCCCGAGAAGACGTCCTCTAACACATGGCATGGATGCGATGTGATGCTATGGTGAAGGGATGGCTCACCACGCCCATGGAAAAGAACATACAAAGCAGTGTGAAGTATGCGAACACGGCTTCAGAAATCTGGTCAGATCTTTGTGAGAGGTTTGGCAAGGAAAGTGCACCTAGGGCGTATGAATTGAAACAACAAATCGTCTCTACACAGCAAGATGGATCCTCTGTATCAACTTATTACACGAAGCTTCGAGGTCTCTGGGATGAATGTCAATCTGTCCTACCCACACCCCATTGCACTTGCCACGGGTGCACCTGTGGGCTTGGAAAGCGATTGACCGAGCATCAAGAAAAAGAAAAGTTATATGAATTCGTAATGAGTCTAGATGCTGAATTCACTATAATTAAAACACAGATCCTGGCAATGCAACCGATACCGGCTTCGGGAACAGCCTACCACCTTGTCACAGAAGACGAACGACAAAGAAGCATCTCAGCCGATAAGAAAGCCTCATCATACGCTGCTGCTTTTAAGGCCTACGTACCCACGCGACATGAAGGTGGCAAGAATTAACAACGAGACAGGTACAATCAAAGGGGAGCAAAACGGGGTGAAGAGGTGGAAAACTGCAGTTTTTCTGGCAAAAAAGGGCACAATCGAGACGGGTGTTTCAAGAGAATAGGGTATCCGGAATGGTGGCCAGGAAAAACAAAGGGTGACAAAGGAAAAGCAAGGGTAGCATGCATCGAAACCAAGTCAAGTCACATACCCGGCCTCACTAATGAACAATATGAAGCCTTCTTGAAGTATTTTGCAAACTTCAACAAAGTCACCAACAAAGAAGTGCAACCAGAAGCTAACATGGCAGGTAAGTTAAACCAAGACGGGGATTGGGTTGTAGACTCGGGGGCTACCGAACACATAACCTACAGAACCGACATCCTTGATAATAAAAGAAAAGTTCCTTGTGAAGTCCCTGTTATTATGCCAAATGGTGAAGCCGTTCCCGTCGAGGGAAGAGGTGATTACACTCTACCAGGAGGAGCCAAAATAAGAGGGTCCTACATGTTCCGACTTTTAACTGCAATTTATTATCCGTTAGCCAATTGACGAAGAACCTTCAATGTGCAGTGACCTTCTTTCCTGACTTTTGTGTTATGCATGGGTTGCGCTCGAGGGACGTGATTGGTGCGGGTAATTGCACAAGAGATCTTTACCGAATGGGAATATTTGAAGGTGAAAGGAAGGCAATGATGACGACCGTTGATACATGGCACAAAAGATTGGGACATGCATCCGAAGATAAACTTGGTCAAGTAGATTTTCTTAAGAGTTTTTCTTTTAAGGGTAAAAATAAAATTTGTGATTCTTGTGCGAAAGCAAAACACACGAGATCACCTTTTCCCATTAGCACTATCAAGATGAAAAATTGTTTTGAGTTGGTACATTGTGACATTTGGGGTAAATATCGTACTCCTTCTCATTCTCGAGCAAATTATTTTTTAACCATTGTAGATGATTTTAGTAGATCTGTATGGGTTTTTCTAATTAAACATAAACACGAAGCTAGCAAATATTTAATTGATTTTCATAAAATGGAGGAGGTACAATTCGGAAAACCCATCAAGAGGATCAAATGTGACAATGGTGGCGAGTTCACATCAAGTCTTATGGCTGATTTTTATGCTCAAAAGGGAATTTTACTTGAAACTACTTACCCACACACCCCCAACAAAACGGGGTGGTGGAACGTAAGCATAGACATCTTCTTGAAATGGCTCGGGCATTAAAACTTGACGCAAGTTTGCCTAAATTTTTTTGGGGGGGAATGTGTTCTAACGGCTGCTTACATTATCAATCGATTGCCCTCTAGAGCTATTGACAATAAAACCCCATATGAATTAATGTTTAACAAAAAACCGGAGTACGAACATATGAGGGTTTTTGATTGTCTCGCTTATTTGAGAAACAATGAGACGAGAGGAGACAAGTTCGAAGCAAGGGGGAGACCTGGGGTGTTTTTGGGTTATCCCCAAGGCACAAAAGGGTATAAAATTTATGACATAGAAAGCACAAAAATAATAGTTTCTAGAGATGTTAAATTTTGTGAAGAAGACTACCCTTTTGCTACCACTTCACAAAATGACAACACAATGAATGAGGGTGATATCTTTTCCAATGTGACAACTCTGCATTTTGGAATTTCAGGTTAGTATCCCATTTTAGAACCTTTATTGAAAACTAAGTCTTTCTAGGATTTAGCTACGATGATCTGAGATCATCTTGCTCTTCTTCCAAGATTAGTTTGTTAGGTCACGTTTCAGCGGGTAGCTAACCAAGTTGGTTCGTGCAAAGCCAAATAGTTTTGAAATATTTCACATAAAAATAAAGTCGATATTTTCGTTTCGTTCTTCTTAAAATTCAAATTTCCAAAGTTCCGATCTTTTATTTTTGG